GTGCATGCTCATTGCCCAACAGCCATGTTTTGGAGTTACTCAGCTGTGTGATGAATGCCAAGGCGTTTTCCTGGCTTCTTCTCACTGACCACTCCTGGAAGCCTGTTTCTAAGCCTGCTCCACTTTACAGATAGGGAAACTGAAGCTCAGAGCATTTCCTCGTGTTGAGTTTGCTGGTAGATGGGAGACAAGATTTTGTTTTTCCAACCTGGATGCGCCTCCTGGTGGCTAATGGCGTAACTGCAGCCTGGGCCTGCAAGGGCCGCTCTCCTGCTTACAAGTCCTCCATAGCACCCACAATCTTTTCAGCGGGAAACAAGAGGCTTGAATGCACCCCCGCTGAGCCATCATAGCCATCCCTTGAAGGCTAAACCTGGCCCTTCTACTCAGGCCCAGGTCTTGCCCCTACTTGCCTCTTTCAGGTCTTGGTGAAGGTGAGGCTGACTGGCAGGAGATGCCCAGCAATTGGAACTGTCCCCTCAAGGAGGCATAGAAGAGGGACAGGGATGTGAGCTGGGGTGTCCCAGGCTGCCTCAGGTCTCTGCCTCAGCTTCCACATTCTAGGAAGGCTTGCACCAGGGTAGGGAAGTTAAGCTGCCACTTGACCTCAAATCAGGAGGAACTCTTCACTAAGGCTATGGACCTTGGAACTGTCTCCAGGGCTCTTTATATTGTGGGCTTTAAATTACCTCCAGGACTTCAGAGAAATGTTTACTGGGGGTCTAAAGGTGTGGCTTGGTGGTAGAGCCCTTGCCTAGAATCCCCCAGTGAGGGGCTGGGGAAATGGCTGAGTTAGAGCCCTGGCCTAGAATCCCCCAGTGAGGGGCTGGGGAAATGGCTGAGTTAGAGCCCTGACCTAGAATTCCTCAGGAGGGGCTGGGGCTTGACTCAGCAGGAGTGTTTGGATAACATGCTGAATAAAAGCTGGTGGGGGAAGGGAAATGGGAGCTCCTGGAATTGTGACCACTCTCCTCACCAGTACTCCCCATAACTTGAGGTTGAGAGTGTGGGTCAGGGAGTTCCTCTGGAGAGGACAGAGACAAGGCTTGGTGAGGTGAAAGGGGAGTATGGTAATAGGTCATGCTGTACCAGGGGTTGCCGGAGTCCACAGGCTCTGCTGAGAGCACCAGTCTGGAGACCCCAAGGCCCTGAGGCCCTTCCTGTGTGGCTTATAAGGAGCCGAGCTGGTAGTCCTGTGTTTCCAAGGAGTCCCTGGAAGTGTATCTCACTGCCCCGTTCTAGTTTGCGTTCAATTGCTGTGACAAAAACACTCTGACCAATACCACCTTAGTGAGGAAAGGGGTTTATTTGGCTCACATCTCTTGGGTCACAGTTCATCACTGAGGGAGCCCAAGATAGGAACTCTGGGCAGGAACCTGAAGGCAAGAGCTGGAGCACAGGCCATGGAGGAACACTGCTCCCTGGCCATGCAAACTTGCTTTTCTTTTTGGATATTTGAGGCAGGTCTCCTAGTAGCCCCAGCCAGCCTGGAACTCACTGTGTAGACCACGCATACCTTGAACTTACAGAGATCCACCTGCTTCTGCCTCCCAAGTGCTGGGATTAAAGGCATGTGCCACCACACCTGGCTCTAACTTGTTTTCTTAAACAATACAGGACCACCTGTCCAGGGGTGGCACCACCCACAGTGGCCTGGGCCCTCCCACATCACTCAATAATCAAGAAGATGCCCCACAGACATGGCACAGGCCAGTCCAACAAAGGCAATTCCCCATTTGAGGCTCCCTCTACCCAGGTGTGTCAAATTGTCATCTAAAGCTATCCAGCACAACCCTTCCTTCTGTGATATTTGCATATGTGTTATTTGCATATGATTTGCATGGTTCATTTGAATTAAATTTGTACATCACTTGCATGGCTCTTCTTAGGTGTCCCTTCCATGAGCCAGTTGGTTCTGAGAAACCCCATCTCCTCTATTCAGAGGCCAGGCAGGGCTCATAGGGACCGGAGTGGGGTGCGGATGGGGTCCTTAAGTGGAGGTCACCAGCTTTGGGACCATGCCATCCCTGGCCAGGCTTCTGGGTTAGCAACACCTTTCTCCACTCACCTGTGTGCTACATCCCACCCAGAGAAGCTTCCAGAGTCTGTAGCACTGACAGGAATGCTACAGAAGGCCTCTTACAGAGAACCCAGGTTGGGTTCCCAGCACCCATATGACAGCTAACAATCTGTAACTCCAGTTCCGAGGGATCAGACGCCCACTTCTGGTCTCCACAGGCAGTGCACACACGTGGTATTATTTATATATATGAATGCCTAACACTCATACACATAGAAAATAAAATATAAAAAAAATGCTGATGAAGGTGTAGGGAGGGCAACCCTTACCCACAGTTGGTGGCAGTGTAAACTGGTGCAGCCACTGTGGAAAGCAGTGTGGAGGTCTCTTAAAATAACAAAAATAGAGGGGCTGGAGAGATGGCTCAGCGGTTAAGAGCACTGACTGCTCTTGCAGAGGACCCGGGTTCGATTCCCAGCACCGAGGGCATTGCATGGCATGACACGGGTGCACTTACCTATGCAGCCAATACACTCATACACATAAAATAAAAATAATAAATTTTTAAAAAAAATCCTGGGGTTGGAGAGATGGTTCAGTGGTTAAGAGCATTGGCTAGTTTTGCAGAGGACCCAGGTTCGATTCCCAGCACCCACATGGCGGCTATGAACCGTCCTTCACTCCAGTTCCAGGGGAATCCAAAGCCCTCTTCTGACCTCCGGGGCATTGCACAACATGGGTGCACTCACATACATGCAGGCAACACACTCATACACATAATATAAAAATAAATAAAATATTTTAAAAAAAGGATTCTAGAAATAGCAGCTGGCAAGATGGTTCAGGAGGGAAAGGCAGTTGCTGCCAAACTGATGACCTAAGGCTGCTCTCTCGGACCTACATGGTAGGAGAGAACCAATTCCTGAGGGCTACCCTCTGCTTCCACTTGCACACACATGGTATGCACACATGCAATAAGTAAATAAATGTAATTAAAGAACAAAGACTTCAGAAACTTCCCTGGAGGACTGGAGACCTGGGGCTGGTCGTGAGCCTGTCTCCACCTGTGGTGTGGAAGGTGAGACCAGGGATGGCCCAGCTCTGGTGGGCCTGTGACTGTCCTCTGGCCCCTTTAAGTTGAGAAGCACCTTAGGTAAGCGGGACTTTAGTGCAGAATCTGACTTGAGGGTATTTCCTTGCTTTGAGCCCCCAAGAGGTATACCACCGAATTCAGAGGATGGTAGGTAAGTGAGGTGAGGTTCTGTAGGCTCAGTTCCAGGGACCCTGTTGACATCTCTGGGGACCAGATGACCTGCTAGGGCAGTCCCATGTCTTCCCTTCCGTCAAGATGTGCCAGGTGGCTCTCTCCACATTGTTGCCTCAATTTCCCTCCCACACATGGCCCTGGAGGTACCTTTGCTATGAACCCCTCCAAGCTGAGTGCTGACTTTCCTGGTCACTGCAGGAGCTGTCACCCTATCATGCCACCCCACACTGGGGTGTAGTGGCCACTTCCTCCCTAAGATTAGTTGCTCCCCTTTCATGATGGCCTCGATGGCTTCCATCCTGTATCCTCCTCTCCTGGGGTGCAGGTTCTTGCCAGAGCAGCCTCTCCCCTGAACAGGACTCTACCTGGAGTAGGCACCCCACACTTGCTGGTACAGAGCTTGCTGATGCCTGGGACTCAGCTACCCCTACCAACACTCATTTGCAAATGGAGGCCAGTCATCTACCTCCAACTCTTGCCTGCCCAGCACCTGGGCCATCCTTAGTCCCTCCTGCAGTCTTTCTCCACACAGCATGCGAGTGGCTGGGAAGAATGCTCTGTCTGAGGGGACCCCAGCAAGGTTGTGCATCCCAGGGACACCAAGGATAGCAGTGATCGCTGCCCTCCAGCCCAGTATTTGTCTCAAAAGGACTTTCCCCAGTGGTTTATTACTCAGCTGTGATAAAGAACGAGGCTGCTGGGAGTGGTGGTGCGCGCCTTTGATCTCAGCACTTGGGAGGCAGAGGCAGGAGGATTTCTGTGAGTTCAAGGCCAGCCTGGTCTACATAGTGAGTTCCAAGCCAGCCCCACGACAGGGAGACCCTGTCGCAAAAAGACCAAAAAAAAGAATGAGGCTCTGAATAGTTTTTCAACACGGCCAAACCTCAAAAACAATGCCGGTGACAGAAGTTACACACCAAAAGCCATGCGTAGTGTGGTGCTCCACAGATGTTTAGAGCAGGTGAGTCCAGACACAGGAGGGGAGAGTGGAGACAGGTTCCTTTGGTGGTCGAGAGTGCTCGGGGATGACAGGTGGTCATCTGAAAGCACTGCTGGCTCTCAGGAAGGGCAGAGGGCAGGGTGAAGCACTCATGTGGGTGAGCAGTAGCTGATTCCAGGGTATCCCAGGGTGAACTGGGCTTGCCTCCCATGAGCCCCAAGTGTGTGGGGAGCCCTTGGGAGGGGAGAGCATAACATCACTTGGGGGGCAGAGGCAGGCAGGTTCCTGTGAGTTCCAGGCCATCCAGGGCTACATATTGAGACCAAAACAAAACAAAAATAACAAAAAAACAAAAATCACCAAACCAACCAGCCAAGCAAACAAATAATCAAAAAAACAGTGCAAGAGGCTGGAGAGGTGGCTCAGTGGTCAGAGCACTGGCTGTTCTTGCTGAGGACCCGGGCAGTTCACAGCTGCCTGTAGCTCCAGTGCCAGGGATCTGACATCCTCTTCTGGTCTCTGCAGTCACTGTGTACACATCATATACACACAGACACACATGTATGCACACACATGTATAAAAAGAAAACATAAAATGAAAGAAAGAAAAGACCCAAACTCCCAAACATCAAAAAGGTAAAAGAGAACAAAAATATAAAACCAACTGTGAATCAGAAGAGAGCACACCGCAGCACCCAGGTCGTGGAAGAGCCGTGAGGTGTCCAGGTTGTCACCTATCACCTGAACAAGCCTGTACTGAAAACACTGGAATGAAAACAAGTCAAAAACTTTAATGGGGAGCTCAGGGCAAGCCCTAGAATAACAATCTATTGTCAACCATGAAATTACTGTTTAAAAGAACGCACTGAGGCAGGAGGGTGAGGGGCGCCTCCCCCTGCTTACATCCTGGCCGGCAAGGGGCTTCTGAGATAACAGTCAGGACACAAGGCCGGTCTCCATGGTGTGCAGCTGGGTCCCCACAACTTAATTAGAGGCATCCGAGTTAATGCTGCCAGAGTCTCCAGCAGGAGATGAGGCTGGCTGAGGGGTGGTGGTGCCCTGCCAGCTGCCATGGGCCTGAAAAGACAGACAGAGCATGAGAGCAGGTGACCACCGAGTTCCTAGGGGGCTTAGGACTTGCAGGCTGATGGCCTCCAGGAAGAGCCAGGCGAGCAGGGCGAGGGAGTCAGCGCTATGACACGACCAGCCTCTCCACCGGATGTGTGTCAGGACAAGCTTCCAGTAGGAAGACCAGCCTCACCACTGCCCCAGGATCTTCCACAAAGCATGCTGGCATCAGGAACCGAGTTCCCACAGCCTGAGGAACACAGACAAGGCCAGGCCCAGAGCCACCACCTCCACCTGAAGTGTCTCGGGGGCAGCAGAACAAAGAGGGAAGTTCAAAGCCTGGCTACACTGGCCTGTGGGCAGCCAGGAGGGCAGGGCCATAGCTAGTGGGCAGCAACTGTCCCCTCACGACAGGAGCAAGAGTCTCCATCTGTGGTGTCCAGAGGACACAGTACATGTCAGACAAGAGGCTTGGCCTGCCCTGCCTGTCCGTCTGAGGGTAACTGGACAGAAATGCTGGGCTCAGGGGACAATGCCCTCAGGTGGACACAGGGTGAGGCACAGGAGGTGCCAGGCACTCAAACTGAGGAACAGCTTCCCCTCTGTACTTGCTCAGGTCGGGCAGGTGCGGTGGAGGCTCTGTGAGTGAGGCAGTTGCTGGGGTGTGCTGAGGGACCCAGGCAGGGGACAGTGGCCTTGCAGGTTAGGCCCTGGTGGCTCAGGAGGGTTTCTGCATGGCATGGTGTTGCCCCAGGCCTGACTTTCTTTGCTCAGTGCTGGGGCTGACAGAGCCACTGGGTCCAGAGCAAGGGTGGATTGGGGCCTTGTTCTAATTCCTCTCTCACTCCGGATGGCTCTGCCCCAGAAAGCCTGAGCCTCCGGTAATGCCAGAGGCAGAAACAGACTTCAAGCTGCTGTTGTGCTACGGGCTGGGGCTATAATGGTGATGGCAGACAGGGCCAGAGCCAGAGCCACTACCATCTGTGCAGGCACTGTCCTGAGCCCCAGGCTGGCTCTGTGGGAGCTTCTAGGGAGAAATTCATGGGGCTCATCAGGCCTTGGCCAGGGCTAAGGTACTTATGCAGCACCCTTAGGACAACTCACAGCTCCTTTAGAGGCGGCTGCAGTCAGGCCGTCAGGACAGACCAGGAGATAGGTGACACCCTGGGAAAGTTCTGGAGGCACCTTGGCTACCTCAATGCTAGTCACCAAAATGCATCTCTGGCCTTGCTGATGACCTACCGAGCAGGGTGAGAAGACCCACCCCCAGTGATGGGTAGGTCTGAGTCCAGAGGCCAACTGTTTCCCTGGAAGAACCTAGCTTTTCCTCATGATCTCCTCCTGAGACCCAGGACCAGGGTCTCCCTGCAGGCCCAGGCCCTGGGGTAGGGGGTGTCACAGTGTGGTCAACTCACCTTGGGCTGTAAGCAGCTTCCCCCAGGTGGAAGCTGGAGAAAGGCCAGGGTCTGCAGAGTGAAAACCATGTCTCCACCACTGGGCAGTGGGAAGGGACCAGAGGAAGCTGTGAGAAATAGAAGGAATCAGGATGCAGGTCACAACCAGAGTTGGGCCAGCAGTCACAGGGACTTCTGGTTGGCATATGGCCACCTGCTCATGCCCCAGCCCTTGTGGGGACACTGGCCCCGTGCAGCAGAGTCCAAGCTGTTCTTGTTCATTCTGTTGGTACTGGCTTTGGCTGTACAGGGTTCTGTTGGCTGGGATCGTAGTCAAGAAGCTCCAGAAACCCCTGTCCTATCTGGAGGCACACACTTTTAATCCCAGCACTGGACAGGGGGAGGCAGGTGGATCATTGAGTTCTAGTCCAGTCAGGGCTATATAATGAGACCCTATCTCAACTCCCCACCCAAAAACAAACAAACAAAAGCCCCAGAAATTTCACCATGAGCCACAGCCTCACTCACCAGGGCTGGGTGTGGACAGGGAGCTGGCCTGACGCCCTGGGCCTTGGGCCTCAGTAGTATCCACAGCTATTTTACCAGTGTAGATGGTAGCCTCTTCCTGAAACTTCCCAGTGTTCTTTTTATACCGGATTCTTTTGTTGCCAAACCAGTTAGAGACCTGTGGACGGACAGACAGACAGACAGATGGAAGCTGCCATGGTGTCAGTCAAGTTGGGGACAGACCATATAAGGGCTGCTTGAGAGGGTTTTTCCTCTCACTGCCCAAAAGGAACAGTCTTGGAGCTTGCTATAAGAGGCTGGGAGCTGGCAAGATGGCTCAGCAGGTAAAGGTGCTTGCTGTTAAGCCTAATGACCTGAGTTTGATTCCTGGGAACCACATGGCGGAAGAGTATGAACTGCAACCTATCCTCTGACCTTCACATGTCACTGTGGCACATGTCTGCTTATAACTACATAAAACAAACAAACTCTCATGGGCTGGGGCTGCAGCTCAGCGGTAGAATGCTTGATGAACATGTACAATTCCTAGCACTGCAAAACAAGGAAAAAGAAAAGAAAGGTCTGGAGAGGTGGCTCAGTGCAGAGCGTTGGCTGCTCTTCAAGAGGATTCAGTTCCCGGCACCCACACAGCAGGTAACAACTGTCAGGGGACTCTAAGCCCTCTTCTGTCCAGGGGATCTGATGTCCTCTTCTGGCCTCCACAGGCATTGCACATATGAGGTACATTTACATACATGCAGGCAAAACATTCATATACATAAAAAAGAAAGAAAAGCCAGGCATGGTGGTGCACGCCTGTAGTCCCAGCACTTGGGAGGCAGAGGTAGGCGGATCTCTGTGAGTTCAAGGCCAGCCTGGTCTACATAGTGAGTTCCAGGACAGCTCGGGCTACAGGGAGACCCTGCTTCAAAAAGACAAAAAAAAAAAAAAAAAAAAAAAAAAAGAAAGAAAAAAGAGGCAGAACTTAGATGTCACAAATTGAACTCTGGACCCTGGCAGTCACCCAGGGTGGGCCGAGGACCCCCTTGGGCTGGTAAAGATGGAAAGCTACCTGAGGGAAACCAAGAATGTCTTGGGGGAGATGTTCACCAAGCATTCACTGCCTCACAGCAGCAGCCATAGGCTGCTTCTGCCTCCTCCCTCAAAAAGCCAGGGAGCCTGCATCCCCCTGGACCTGAGATCCCCACTCTTGGGGGTAGCTGGGGTGTATCAGGTGCATGGCTAGTACTGTTCATATGTCACCCCTCATAATGGCCTAGCAAGGAGCTGTTAGGCTGACGGAAGGCAGAGCCTCAGCAAAGCTCCTACCCCATCTCAGGGGCTTCACCCCACCTCAGGGGCCCCCATCCCACCTCAGGAGCTCCCACCCCACACCTACTCTGTCACACCCTAGCAGCATCCCTTGAGAGAACTCCACATAATTGGTGGGTAAGCTCACACCCGTCTCACAGTGAGGGAGGACAGCGCCTGCCCAAATCTTCACATTCACAGCGCAGAGCTGGGATCTGAGTGGAACCTAGCTGACTCAACATGGCCACTGGGCTCCTCTTCACGAGACTTAACCTTCTGGTTCTTCCAAGGGCAAGGAAAGCTCACCTGGGACACTGTGATGCCACCCTTCCTGGCCAGCTCTTCCTTGGTTTCTTCGCTGGGATAAGGGTTGCTCAAGTGGGAATAAAAATACTCATTTAGCACTTCCGTTGCCTCCTTGCTGAAATTTCTCCGCTTCCGCCTGAAGAGACAGAAGGCCTCAGTATGCAGCCACATGCCGGACTCTGGTATTAACCCTCACCCCTAACTTTGATCTTTGGGCAGGCTTTAACACGGGTGTGTGAATGTGCTCATGTTTGTGTGTGTTGATGTTGGGTGTCTTCCTCTATCACCCCACATCTTTATTTCTTTTGGAGACAGACTTACTAAGTAACCCTGGCTGACCTGGAACTTGCTATGTAGACCAGGCTGGCTTCCATCTCTGCCTTCCATCTCTGCCTCTGCCTTCCTAGTGCTGGAATTAGAGGTGTGCACCACCATGACTGGCTGCAGAGATGGCTCAGTGGTTAAGAGCACTGGATGCTCTTGAAGACCAGGTGCGAATCCCAGAACCCACATGGCAGCTAATAACTGTCCATGACTTCAGTTCCAGGGGATCCAACACCCTCTTCTGACCCCCAAAGGCACTTATGTTGAGCATGGTCTCTCATTGAACCTGTAGCTCACTGATTTGGCCAGACTGAGTAGCCAGTGAGCCCCAGGGATCCACCTGTTTCCACATCTCCAGTGCCTGGGTTGCAGACCCCCTGAATTTTCCTTTAAAAATCATCCATGTGTTTTTGTGTTTGCCTGTCTGTGCAAGCAGGTGCATGCATGCCATGGAATGTGTGTGGCGGTCAGAGGACAACTTTTTGCCATTGGTTCTCTCCTTCCTCAGTGGATCTAGGGATCAAATTCAGGTCTTGAGGCTTGTGCAGTAAATGCTTCTATCCTTTGAGCCGTCTGGCCCACACCTGGCTTTTTCTTTGGTTGTTTTTTTTGTTTTGTTTTGTTTTGCTTTGTTTTTTTTCTTTGGTCTTTTTGAGACAGGGTCTCCCTGTAGCCCCAGCTGGCCTGGAACTCACTATGTAGACCAGGCTGGCCTTGAACTCACAGAAATTCGCCTGCCTCTGCCTCCAGAGTGTTAGAATTAAGGGTGTGTGCCACCACACCTAACCCACACTGGCTTTTCATGTGGGTGTTGGGGTTCTGAACTCAGGACTTCATGTTGGTAAGGCAAAGCACGTTACTGACTAAGCCATCTCCCAATGTGGATCTTCTGGCATGTTGGTTTTTTTGTTGTTTTGTGTTTTGTATTTTTGAGACAGGGTCTCCCTGTAGCCCCAGCTGGCCTTGAACTCACAGAGATCCACCTGCCTTTGCCTCCCAAGTGCTGGGATTAAAGACGTGCACCACTATGCCCGGTATCTTCGGGCAGTTTTAAAAACAACAGTCAGGGGCTTTGGAGATGCCTCAGTGGGCAGTGGACAAGTGTGAGGACCCGAGTTTGAGTTCCTGGAACCCACATAAAAGTCAGATGTGGCATGCACACCTGTGATGGCAGTGCTCCTGTGGGGAGCTGGTGGCAAGACAGGAGAGTCCCCAGAAGCTCCAGGAGCACACAGTGGAAAACAACAGAACTGTCTCAAACAAGGTGGAAGATGAGCCCTGACACCTGTGGTTGTCCTCTGACTTTCACATGCATGCCATGGCACACATATGCCGTCCACTTGCCCGAGAGCCTGCACACACACACACACACACACACACACACACACAATTGAAAAATAAAAACAAAGGCTAGAGCCTGGTGTGGTGGCACACACCTTTAATCCCAGCAGAGCTAGGCAGATCTCCGTGATGGTGCACACCTTTAATCTCAGCACTTGGGAGGCAGAGGCAGGCAGATCTCTGTGAAATGGAGACCAGCCTTGTTTACATAGTGAATTCCAGACCAGCTGGAGCTACAAGGGCACGTTGTTTCAAAAATCTAAAAACGGGCTGGAGAGATGGCTCAGCAGTTAAGAGCACTGGCTGCTCCTGCAGAGGACCCAGGTTCAGTTCCCAGCACCTACATGGTGGCTAACAACTGTCTGTAATTCCAGTTCTAGGGGATCCAATGCTCTCTTCTGACCTCCACAGGAATTGCACAACATGGATGCACTTACATACATGCAGGCAATATACTTATACAGATTAAAAAAAAAATCTAAAAATAAACATAGGAACAAACCATCAAACCCTGTAGCCAAGCACTTTGGGCCTTTTCCCAAGAAGGTTGTGTGAGGCCTACACGCAGTCCACAGCCAGAGCTTCTGGACCTGACTTAAACCCCAAAAGGGCTGGGGTGTCATTCAGTGGTAGGCAGGGCACATGCTTAGTGTGTACAAGGCTCTGAGTTCACTCCCCAGCAATACAAAACAGCATAGCACAGCACACACAGCACAACATCTTGCTCCCACTTTACTACTGACCAATCCTTAGGGTCCCGGTGGCATTCCGCACAGTCCCTCACCTGGCATCCAGGAAGCGCGAGCGCAGGGTCATCACAGCCTCGCATGTGCTGTGCTTCAGCTGCCGCTGGATGGCACTGAACTTGCCCTGGATGACACCCACCATGTGCTCGATCTCCCAGAAAGACACGGGCCTCACCCTGCTCTGCTCCCGGAGAAGGTTGGTGACATGGGTGGTGAACTCACGGCAGGCCTAGGGTGGGGACAGACAGGCCAGCCTATGACTAAGCAGTGGGGTGGTGCAGGGCGGCAGGCTCCACACCTGACCAGCCACCTGCCACCCCCACGGCTCACACACAGGCCAGCTTCGGAGGAGTGAAGGAAAAGGCCTTCAGTGACATGGCCACCTCTGTGGCAACCACTGGTGGGCTGTCCCTGTTCTGCCACAGAGGAAGGGGTTAGCGTCCACGTTTGGCTGTGACAAATGCGCATTCACATGATAGAAACTCTTGCATGCAGAAAGATCACCTGTTCATATTTCTCTAGCTCAGAGTGGTAAATCTGTCGGATCTGGGACAGCTTGGCCCTGTAGTCTGAGTGCTCAATGCTATTGTCATTTGGACAGCCACCTGGGGTTGCTGCGCTGCCGGCCGCCGCCACTCCTCGTCCTCTCTTCTCCGGCCTGGACACACCCTCGGCCAGCAGCATGTTATCCAGCCTCAGGAGCTGAGCGTCAGGGGGATCCTCTTCCTGATGCCGAATGTTCACGGCTAGATGACAGACAGAAGGGGACGTGTTCTCTGCAGAGAAAACCAGCCAGAGCCAAGCAGCACTGGCACATAGCTGGACTATTATCACACTTAAAATTTTTTTTGATGTATTTGTTTTTATTTTGTGTTTATGCATGTATTGCCTGCATGTAGGTAAGTGCACCCGTGTTGTGCAGTGCCCACTGAGGACAGAAGAGGGCGTCAGATCCCCTGGAACTGGAGTTACGGACAGTTGGTAGCCACCATGTGGGTGCTGGGAATTGAACCCAGGTCCTCTGTAAGAGCAGCCAGTCCTCTTAACTGCTGAGCCATCTCTCCAGCCCCTATACTTTTGTTGGTTTTTTGAGACAGGGTTTCCCTGAACACCAGATGGACTGGAACTTGCTATGTAGACCAGGCTGGCTTCGATTTTACAGAGATCAGGATTAAAGGCATGTACCACCATGTCCAGCTATTACCACACTTTAAAATTTTTATGTATATATCCAGAAGAGGGAGTTGGAGCCTCTGGAGCTGGAGTTGGACAGGCAGTTGTGGGTGCTAGGAACTGGGTCTTCTAGAAGAGGACAGCTCTTAACTCCTGAGCTGTCCCTCTAGTCCCTTTATTACCACAACTGATCAGAGCTACTGTGTAACCCACTGGGACACTGATCCAAGTGTCATCTTCATCGGCACTGGGGCAAGGAGGCCAGGTGGAACTTGATTACAGCTGTGAGAACATAGCCAGGCTAGGCAGGCTGTGGGGAAGGTGCTTGGTACTAGGGAACTCTGACTCCTGAGCCAAGTCTCCTGAAGTGCTGGGAGGGGGCATCTTGGTGCTGTTGTGGATATAAAGACAAGTTCAATCTCTGAGACACACATGGTGGATGGAGAGAACCAATTCCTACAAAGTGTCCTATGACTACCACATGTGCTCTGTGGTATATATGCAGTCCCCTCAAATAAATAAATAAATAAGTAATAAATACATAAATAAATAAATAAATGATAAATAAATGTAAAAGAAACATTTAGAGGCGAGCACAGCCTAGCACTGGGACTGGGCACGGCACTGCACTGGTGAGTTCTGCTGTGTGTGTCCCTGTGTGTCCATGTTTGTGTGCTGGGGCTGGTGGTGTTATAATGTTGGAGAGGAAATGTTTGATCAAGATGTTGGCAAACTGATTCCATCCTGTCTCAAAACACCAAAAAAAAAAAAATTATTGGGTAGATTGTAGGAAAACAAGAAAATGTTTTGGAAAGGGAAAAAGTTAAGTTTAATAGGGGCTTATTGTACAAGCACGAGAATCGAAGTTCAAATCACCCCGAACCAAGTAAATCTGGGCAGGTGTGATGGTCCACCTATAATCCCAGTGTTGGGGAAGCAGAATCAAGGAATCAATGATGCAAGCTGGCTCTGAGTTCAGTGAGAGACCCTGCCTCATTAAAACAAAATGGAGACCAGGGGCTGGAGAGATGGCTTAGCAGTTAAGAGCACTAGCTACTCTTGCAGAGGACCCAGGGTCAGTTCCTGGTACCCACATGGTGACTAACAAGTACCTGTAATTCCAGTGCCAGGGAATCCCAAGCCCTCTTCTGTCCTCCATGGGCATGGCATGCACAGATGCACGTACATACATGCTAGCAAAACAATCAAACATATAAAATAAAACTAAAATTTTAAACATTGTATTTATTATTTTTATTTTATTTTATTTGTATGAGTGTATTGCCTGCATCTATATATATGCACCCATGTTGTGCAATGCCCACAGAAGTCAAATGGTGGCATCATATTCCCCTGGAACTGGAGTTATAGACAGTTGTTAGTTGCCATGTGGGTGCTGGGAACCAAACCTGGGTCTTCTGCAAGAGCAGTCTTAACTGCAGAAGAGGGCATTGTATCCTCTGGAACTGGAGTTGTGGATGGTTGTTAGCTGTCATGTGGGAGCTGGGAATTGAACCCAGGTCCTCTGCAAGAACAGCCAGTGCTCTTAACCACTGAGCCATCTCTCCAGCCCTATTTTAAAAAACTTGTATGCTGTTTTGTTATATGCTACAGGCAGTGTATATAAAAGTTTTAACCTTGTGAAACAGAAATTCATGGAAATTCAGAGAGGTAGCTATTAAGGACTGACAAACAGAAGATTATGTATTATGCACATGTGTTACAGGGATGCTTTGTGCAGACTTTAGATTTCTTGAATATTCACTAGTTTACGAAAAGTAGCCTAAGAAACTTCTGAAAGATTTGATTACAAAAAGGAGCAGATTTTCTAGGGTCTGAAGGGATTTGTGCTTGAAGATACTCCAGTCAACAGAGGGTCATGCTAAGCATTCTGCAGACACAACTGTTTTAAGTTTGTAGCTGCCTAGGAAACCTTCCTGGGATTGAGCCTGGGCTCTATCCGGAGCTACTGAACCACCTTTTTCATGGCAGCATGGTGCACTCTAGAGCCAGTCAACTTGTCCATCTGTCTGGGTGAGGGCTGGCAAGTCTCAGGGTGAAGGAGCCAGGGTGATTTTATTTCTAATTGTGTGTATGTACATGTGTGCAGGTACCCACAAAATCCAGAAGAGGGCGTAAGATCCCTGGGAGCTAGAGTTACAGGCAGTTATAAGCTGCCAATCATGGGTGTTGGGAACCAAATTCAGGTTCTCTGTAAGAGCAGGAGCCATCTCCAGTCCCCACATCTGAAAAGAAGCAACCCTCCTGCCTTCCACTGCAAGATCAACAGAATCAGGGACAGTCAGTGTTGGAAGTGTGATGTGGGCTGTGACAGCACAATGAGTTCTTCCTTTTATGTACCCAACAGCAAACATCTAAAGGTTCCTCAGAGCCAGGTGCCACACCAGGGATTATTTTTAAAAATGCAAGTAGCTGGACAGATGACTCAGTGGGTAAGAATGGTTGCCTTGCAAAGTATAAAGATCTGAATCCAGTCCCCAAAACCCATGTAAAATGTTGTGAGTGGCCATGTACATATCTGTAATCCTAGCACTGGGAAGAGCAGGGACAAGATTGTTGGGGCTTGCTGGCCTCCAGTTGTGATCTAGGCTCAGTGAGAGATGCTCTGTCTAGACAGAAATAAAGCAGAGAGTACCCATGGGCTCATGCATCACACAGATACACAATGCTACCATGAAAAACAGAGCCTAGATGAGATGGTTCAGCGGGTAAAGGAGCTTGCCAGCAAGCCTGAGGACTTGAGTTCAATCTCTGGGACCCATATGGTGACTCCCTGAGTTTTAGTCCATCACACTGGCTGGACCATCCCAAGTGATCTGTGCGGGATCTGTCACCTGCTCAGCACCAGCAAGGCCTAACTGTGCCTTTGCTACTGGTAGACTGCCCCACGGTACTTTGTTGTGGTAGCCCAGCACACTAACTGAGGAATATAACCTAAAGTTGTTTTTTATTTTCTATCCCAGGAAAATAAGAACCAGGAAAAGTGGAGGAATTCTGATGCCAGCCACGGGAACCACCGTCATACTTTGTGAGGCCAATGGCATAGGCAGGATCTGAGCCTTAGTTTCTGCACAGCTCAGATGGGAATCATGAACACATGTGTACATGTGCACTCTCACGTAAGGGGTTGATAAGCTCATAGGGAAGTGTGTCACTTCACTGCCCCATTCATGGACTGCTGCTGTGAAAAGTCCCAGCTGTACTCTGGTTTAGAGGCCCACAATGTCCTTAGGACCCTCACCTGAAACCCGAAGGTGCTTCTTTCACCTGCAGAGCAGCTCCACAGACACCCACCCTCAGGGTTCCCTCTTCCCTCACCTTGTTCCAGGTACAGAGGTAGAACTACCCCTGGCATAGCATGTGCGAGGCCCTGGCTTACTCCTGGGAGGGAGCCATATGGAGAACTCTGCTACCAATTCAAAGCAAGAACTTTGTGAAAAAAATCACAGTCCAAGCCAGGCCTGTTGGCACACACCTGCCATCAGAATTCTGGGAAGGCCAGGGGCAGAAAGATCACAACTTCCAGGACAGTTTCCTTCTCCACTCATGAATACAGGATGGATATCTAAATCAATGATCAGCAAACCCAAGTCCACATCATCTGTGTATCTAAACACATAGAGGATTTACCTCTGTCCAGGACACTTTCAAAATCTGTCAGGCATGTAGAACCTGGAGCCCATTCTAGGATAGCTATGAAGTGACCCAACACATTTGTAGGTGACAATGTCATGTCCCAGTGTCAAAAGGTTGGAACCCGTGCTTGTCCTTTCAATGAAAATGAATATGAATGAGAATCAGTATAGTCACCCTCAGGAGAAAAACAGTAATGAAAAAGAGTTAATTAAAAACACCAAGCCAGGGCTGGAGAGATGGCTCAGAGAACTTGTGGTTCTTGCAGAGGACCTGGGTTAGGTTCCCATCACCCATGTGCGGCAGCTCAGAACTGCCTATAACTCCAGCTCCAGGGGATTCAACACCTCTGGCCTCTGGCAGCACCTCCCCACATGTGCACATACACAGACATGCACATAAATAAAAATAAATAAATACCCCCCCCCAAATATTTAAAACCTGCCAGGCATGAAGGCACATGCCCTTAATTCCAGCACTCCAGAGGCAGGCAGATTTCTGTGTTTGAGGCCAGCCTGGTTTACATAGTGAGTTCTAGGCTAGCCAGGGCTATATAGTGAGATTCTGTCTCAAAAAAGGGAAAAAATTAAAAACAAACAAAAAGCTCAAAGAAAGAAGCAAGTAACCACCACCAGGAGCAAACAGGTGAAGAAGAGCCTTCCCTTCCTGTTTGAGACACTCTCACTAGCCGACGAGGCCGGCCTGTTACTCATGACGGCTTCCATTTTTGGCAATCCTCTTGCCTCAGCTGGGATTCTATCACCATGCCTGACTTATGATGTTTAAAAATATTTTTTTATTTATTCTTATTTTATGTGTCTGAGTGTTTTGCCTGCATATGTGTAAGTGCACTGGGGGTCAGATCCCCTGGAACTAGTTACAGGAAGTTGGGAATGGAACCCGGATCCTCTGCAAGAGC